GACCTTCGAATCTCTTCACGCAACACTTTCACTCGAAATGGAAGTACGCTCAACAATTATGAAACAAGAGATTCCTCGAAACCCAACTTTCCTTCGCATATAAAAGATAGAGAGATGTGAGTCATTAGTTAAGTATCAATGTCGTCTATCGGATATTGCGAGGTACTCATAAGGCAGAAGAAAGTACACTGTCGAGTCAACTGCTTTATAAAAACGGGCCCGGAGTCGAGTTAGGCGCTGATGAAGTGTTGCTCGGCTAGTTGACGGAGCAATGAGTCAAGCATCGTCATTGTTCACAAAAAAATCATATGGGAAGAGATGCTGCTGTGGTGACGTGGAGACGTAGAGCGAAGATAGTGAGTCAGACTTGCGAGATTGGGTATTAGCGCACTGAGTGAAAAATATTCAGTACAATGGGAAGATAGGAGGCAAGAGAGTGGGGAATTGAGGGGTTGTGTCAAGGTTATGAAGAAACTATTTGATCAAGAGACTGTCAGCAAACATAACGGGACACAGGACCCATTAATGAAGGCCAATTATGCAAAGTCGGATCAGCTCGCTGAGGCATAGTAAAGAGTTGTGTAAAATAAAAAGGAAAAGTGAGGGAACCGGAAATTTAGTTGCCAAGACAAATTGCTCTGTTCGCCTTAGTGTTCGTAATGGCCAGCATTAATTGAAACCAAATGTTAAAATATGGTAAGTGTGATCATTACACATCTTCATCCAGGCACACTTTGAGGCTTGCAAAGGGAGTGATTATTGAGAGTAGACTCAAAAATTGGGAAGTGGTTGTAAAAATAGATCACCAATGATGAATATGGGGCTTCAGTATGGAAGAAGGAAGCCATAAAAATATTATTATTTAATTGTGAAAAATAGCATAAAAACGACCCATTTTCTAAACTGAAACAAATGGCCGGTATATAGGAATAGTTAATAAAAAATAAAATAAAAGAGTAAAGGGGCACAAAGAGAGACAATCACGCGTGTCCGATGTGTACAACATATATTCCAACCTAAAAACATAAAATGAACTCGTGCAGAAGATTAAATACGAGTCTGAATATCTAATCACTTTCTAAATGATAGAATTCACTCATCTCTGATGGTAGCCATTCAGACCTTTGCTTGCCCAATAAAGTGATGGATCTCTTCTGACTGTTCACCACCCAAACCACTTATAGAATTCACATAAAATGACCAATTTGAAAAAGAACTTAAGGAAGGGAGCATACAACATGGTGAGCTGAGGTATTCTAAAAGGTTTTTTCAGCAATCCAACGGCGTTCGGACTCTAATCGTGAGCTTAAAGTGGCGACATGTTACCACTTGGCCATACAGCCACGTGCGTCAGAAAGTAACAAGGCAGATGTGACTTTATAAATGAGGCCAAACATTACCAAAATAACAATTGCAATCGACTATGTAACTTATATTCGATGATAATATGCTTTGAAACTATCAGTAACTCTAAAATAAGAATTACATTGTGCGACCCAGAGTGACTAAGATATCATTCACGAATAAGTGATCGGTTGAAAAATGCTCAGGAGAAATAGGAGTTTTAGTTTCCTTAGAGTCCGAGTGGTATGGTCTATTCCAGTGATTCCCAAACTGTGCGCCGCGGCGCCCCGGGGAGCCGCGGCCTCTTGACAGGGGCACCACGAAATGTTGTAAAGGCTTCAATTTGAGAAAATGTGCAGTGATTTGCAGGCTCATGCATCACATTAATTATTAAATATCAATTTAATGCTAATAAAGTTTAAAAAAAATAACGAAGATACACGAGTTTTATCTCTTACTTACGAATAGTCATACTTAGGGTAGGGTGCCATGGAAACAATTTAATTGAAAAAGTTTAAGAACCTATTTGCTCATTCGTCAAAATGTTTGTATCTGTAGCCAAATTCCATAAAGTGATGGTCGCCACTTAGCATTGCCTCCTTGCATTCTACTTTCACCTTTGTTTCTATCTTGTGTGGTTTTATTAAAACTTATCACATTTAAAGCAGTTTATTCCAAACGACTTTATTAACAACAATGTGTTAAAAGAGACAATGTCTAATTCATTGTTTACGCCCTTGATTTAATTATAATTTTTGACAATAATCACAAATTTCCTCCTCACTGCCACCTCCACATATACAACTTGGCGCCTGATTGCGTAATTTCCTATTTCTATTTTCTCATAGCCATTTTTGTAGTCGGCGTAATTTATCACTCGTTACGGTCAGTCAATTCAGATCTGCACGACGAGAGCTCTGAAATTCGTTACATGATCGCTTGTCACATTTCACCGATACATAAACATGAACCACAGTCAGTTAAAGAGCAGGAGTGGCTTTTTTCCTGTCACAATGTGAAAATCGAGATCGTAAGGTGAGGCGTATAAAAAGCGACTAGGGTCGCAACCGGTCACCTTTTCTCTTGGTTTAGTATTTTTGCTCTATTTTGCAAAGTAGGCATTAGTGCTCTGATTGCATCTGTCACAGTACCGACGAAAGCTTAGCACGGGTTGATCGGGGTCGCAGAAAGATGAGCCGAGGACTTCTTGACACGATACAACAGTCTTCCTTACGCAGCAATGCTCCTTTGGTTTCCGATGAGACCGCATCACGAATTACGTCCGACTAACTTTTCCTTGTCAGCTTGTCGATTGATTAATTTTGCTAAAATGTTGGCGGAAGAAGAGAAACACATACTTGCTCACTTTCATAAGTTGACCAGCACACTTTTTCCCATTCAGGTCATGAGTGGTTCAAAACACTTTTTCCAATGTCGGACGATTTCATGAAAAGTGGCATTTATGAGTTTTAAAACGTTCAAAGGTTAAACTAAACTGGTGCTAAGACCAGACTAGTCAAAGACGATGGCATGCGTCATAGAATCTGAATGTTCGAGTAAAAAAAATAACCTTATTTATTTGAAGATATGAAGACCAAGATGTTGTGGCCTCTGGTAGGGTCGCAAACACCGTTAGGTTTATAAGAGTGGGTTGACCTCGTTATTGCAAATTGGTCTGGTTGCCATGGCGACTTAGTAGAACGCACCTAGTCCGAAGTCGTCTGTCATAGTAGTTGTCATGATTCCCAGCATCAGACTGTGGATTTGGTACATTATCATTGGGATAAGAGGGTAAATAGTAGATAGATAGGCCAGGACAGAAAGAGGAGTAATAGTATAATCGTTTTCGGCTGAACGTTTGTCAAGGGATTGACTTCACTTGTCTCTTGGTACGGAGAATGGCGGCACTCACTGATGATGCCGGCGAAGGGTTAGAGAATGTACCAAGTCCACTGTCCGATGCTGGGAATCATGACAACTAAAATGGCAGAAGATTTCGGACTAAGTGGGTTCTACTAAGTCGCCTTGACAACAAGACCAAGTTGCAACAACGAGGTCAACCCACTTCCAAACTCTGGTCCTGACCCTGGCCCCACTCGAGGAGGCGCACTACTCATGTGAGGATTAGGCGAGAGTGTAACCGTGTACAGTCAGTTTATCGGTCGGCCGCTATACCCAAACATTTCTGTCAGACTTTTGTATGTACCACGTCGAGGCCAACCGTCAGGCAGTCGCCGAGTCTCTTGTGACAAAACTATTCAAGAATGACTATTCAAGAATAACTTACTCAAATCGATTACAATAACAAATACATGCTAGCCTCATGGCCTATCACACCATAAATGTGATTTGAGGTAGACCCGAATCGCCTTGAAAGCAGCATAGCTCCTGTAACCAACCGCACTTGTGATTGTGTGGCCGAGTGCTGTTGACGTGTCGTGACGATGCACATAGCCCGGTCTGGAATTCCCTTGCAACGTGCAATCAAGACCGATGCAAGGTCTAAACTACAGTCCAGTCTGGATAAAACAATTTTTGGAAGGTACGGCCGAGGTGAATTTGATGTCATTGTGAGGCTTACTCAGTCATTTGTGAGAAAAACTGCACAATCAATCTGTAAATCGCGTTAAAGGATGCGATAGTTTAGAGACACTGTTGTTTGCGGCTCGTTTTCACAACACGGTGATGTTGCAAGGGCGGCCTATGCCACAGTAGTCATGATAATTTCAACATTGAACCCTTGATTCGCTGTTCCTATGAGCATTGAAGTTGCCATCGTCACTGGCACTTTGCAAAGTTGATGTTCGGCGCTAGAACTGGTGCTCCTCTCTGAGGACACTGACAAGGATGCCGGCGAAATGTCCAAGAGTGTGCCAAGTCAACAATCCGGTGCTGGAAATTATCCCGAATACTGTAGCAAAAGACTGTGAACTGGTTACATTCTTGGAGGTGTCTTTGAAACCTCTCTGTATGGCGAGAAGAGACTGTGACCAAGCTTAAGGCATCGCCATCCTGTTGTTAAAAAACACTTAAATTGGCACCTTCTTTTTGTGTTTGGTTGAAGTGAACCGGTTTAAGCGATTTCTTTCTATGATTTGTAGCAGAGTAGCCAAAGAGATGGTGGGTTTCAGAGGAATTCCGCTCAGGTTCTCCATTTCCACCTCGAGTGAAGTGCAGCCTTGCTGGCTTTGGGGGCGACTTATATTTCGTATGAAAGCGCATGAAGAAGAGGTTCGAAGACCGATCTCCCCAGAAAAGGACGGCCGATTTGCGGCGTACTGTAGCCATTCGGTTTTCAAACGACGTTCAATTTGACACAGTTCACGAGGCGTCCTTCCTCGTCTCTGAATGATTATTATCTTTTATTCGACTTTGTGTACTTGTGTGTGTGCTAACGTCTAAATGCAGTACAAGTGCTAAATCACAGTGATAAAAAGCCTAATGTCAGCTTTTGGTCATCAAGGCTTAATGGGGCGTAAGTCCGTAAGCATATCTGATGGAGAGAATAAGATGTAAGCTTTTAAGGGTTCAATTCAGGCCAGGAAACAACTAATTTTTCGTTTATAAGCAGAGTTTCGAGATTACCAGTAAATCAGTAATATGAGATGTATTCACCCTATTTCGTTTAAGATGACGAAAAACTGGTAGTTGCATTTTGCCTCAATCATATGAGTAGAACTAACGTTTCCATGGGATTTCACATAGCCAAAAGTTTTTCTTATCCAGGCTGAAGTGGACTGCAGTTTCGACCTTGCCCAGGTCTTATCAACACCCCCAGCGGGAGTCGAGCCATGACAATGCAGCGTGTAATCTTGACACGTCCACTTTGTAATACACTTCATAAAAGTTGCATATAAATATTTAAAGTTTACTGCATTAGTTCAAATTTTAACACATTCTAGTGTTCCAAAAGGACTAAAATATGAAACGCATGCACTCTACAACCTGATATAAAGTCGGATTGCCCAAAACGAAGAATGAACGGGAAAAATCGGATTACAAAGTGTCCTATTAGAAACGGGTGATATGGCAAAATGCCTGGCCTCAAAATTCACATCTTCCCTGTGACCCAAGGGCACATCCTGGATGAGAACACCTTTGGGGAAAGCAAGGCTATGTGAAATTCTGTGGAAACGTTAGCTCTCCGCATATGATTGTGGGGAAATTGTACTAGCAGTATTTCCTCACCTTAAATGAAATAGGGTCAATTCACCTCATACTTCTGATTTACTGATTTACATTTGGCCAATTTCAGCAGGCAACGGAGAGAGCAAAAGAGGGAGAGAGATCAGTTGTTCTATCCTTTCTTCGCGGCTGTCCAGGCAGCTGGCAAGAGCGCTTCCAACTTGCAGTTTGCAGATGACACGGCTCCAGTGACATGGCCGGGAAGCCCCGACTGGAACATGGTTTATGCGATTAAGGCTTGTCATTCAGGCAAATATCGAAAAGCGATTTATGTACGAAAAAAAAGAAGTAGGCTGATCGCAGAAATGCAGAAACTGGAGAAGCATTTGTTGCATTTCTGTAGGCGTACAGAAAAGAGGCGGATCCATCTCGTGACTGGCCGCTGGACACGTGGCTGGCCTTGGTCTTGACACTGTGACCATATGAGAAATGCCCGTGATCGCGATTGCGTCAGCAAAATGGCATTCAGGA